AGATCGAGTTATAGGCATAAACAAATATATATATATATATATATATATATATATATATATATATATATATATATATATATATATATATATATATTGCAGCAATTATGTAAAACTAATGAAAGAAAAGAAAATTATATTTTTGATGATTTTTTTTTGGGACAAATTAAGGAGAAAAACAAACAAACAAACCCAATAAATAAATAAACAAACACAAAATAAGCTAGAAAATCTCCCCGGCAACGGCGCCAAAATTTGGTGAGCTGTTGTAGGCTACCAAATTAAAACCATACAAACGTAGTAGCGGGAGTAAGGATCGATCCCACGAGGAGTAACTAGTTTAACTTTTGTGCTCAAATTAAAGGTAGGGGGTTTGGAATATATCGAGAATAAAGATAAAATAAAAGAGAATTTAAATAAATAAGTAATTTAACTGAACGAATAAAGCAATAAAATAATATATCAAAAACACTTATAATAAGAAACCTTGGTTAGTAAAGATCCACCACCGGAATTTAACACTGATCATTGATTAATGAAATAATTAATATGCAGCTGAATATTTGTCGTGAAATTATTTCATTTCTGTTTTCCCTTAGTTGTAGGTAAATAAAGCACAAGCGGTTTAATTACCCCTAACTACTAAATAATCTAAGACAAGCGCTATAGATTTAATTTAATAGCAGCAATAGGAACTAGGAAAACCGACAAACTAAATAACACAAGCACAAGCGGTTGCATTTAATTTAGGAAAATATTCTACCCAAGACCAATTATCACTAAGCCGTCAATAATTAACCTCAGTCGCTACTGAATATTAGAATAATTTGTAGCACAACATTAACTAATATAGCAAATAATTATATCAAATAAATAACTAGTAGGCCTCCCTAGCAATTAAATGACACAATTATTCAAATAACTTAGAAGAATATTTAATACTCAAATGCATAAAAATATATATAATAAAAATAAATAAATAACCTTACAGCGTACTGAATCTGGGGCTTCAATTTACTAAACCAAACTAGAAGAAATTAGCCACGAATGGACATTGATAACAACCTTAAAGAATATTCGAGAGGGGAAGAATTGAACGTTTTTTCAATACTACTCTATCATCTATTTATAGTATTCTCAAAATAGGATTAATCTATTTTCTACCATTTAATCCCTATTTTTGCGCCAAGCCATGAAATCATCCGCCAGCTGCTTTGCACGCCTAAGTTTGCGCTGAATTTTTTGATGAAATCTTGTTTGATGCTGCGCCACTACTCTGTACGAAAGAAAGAAGGAAGCAACATAATTTATTTGTTTTGTTTGAAGAATATATTAGACCCGCATAATAATACTAAAAATAATAATTAAATTGTTAACTAGGCATTTAATAAAACATTTATTTACTAATTGATTATTAACATAAAAATAAATATTTATTATATAATAGTAAATAACTAATACAAAATTATTGTAAAGATGTATATAAAAGCTATTCTCAAAGGCCTGGGAATAGCTAATACCAAGGCCCCCCTAGGAATGGCTATTCCCCTTGCGAAGGTAATATCTCATTCCTAGGCATGTTATTCCCATGACAAAATGATCCAACAAAACGATGGAATAGGTCTATTCCAAGGAATGTTATTCCATTCTTGACCTATTTCATGAACCAAACATGCCATTGAGGTAATAGGCTATTACTAGGAATACTAAGCCTGGTAATAGACATGGTTACCAAACAAAGGAATAGGCCTGTTACTGGGAATGCTATGACATTCCCAGCCTATTCCGTGAACCAAACGGGCCGTATGTGTTTAGGTACATCGAGTTCGAGCTTAACATCCTAAAGTCTTATGTTAAAGGCATTGTCCTTAAGGTCGAACTTAGGCTCTGATACCAAGTGTAACACCCCTAATTTTTAAAACTTTTAAAACTTTTAAAACCTACGAAATCAAGGCGAATCTATCATTATCCATCCAAACAAAGCTGAACTAATAACACGAGTGTCGGGGTGCTATGCCATGTGTAGGTTTGAGAATCTAGGCGCACAGGCTAATCTACTAACCGAAGCACAAATCCACAAGTTCATAAGCTAGAAAAAATCAAGGCACGCAGGCCAACCAACAATTGCTAACTATCTAAGCTAGATACTCGTATCCATCTAGAGAAGCTACAGATCTGCACCTGAAAAACATGCAATGTAACAACCGTCAGCGAATAATGCTGGTAACCCACTCCCACGTGTTAAGTATAATATGGGTAGATATAAGAAAACCATTTTGAGACTGGAATACATATATAATCCTAAGCGAACTCTAGCTTCAAAACCAAGATCAAGACTCAAGGCATAACAACAGTTCTAGCATTACGAATCAGCATAAAGACACTAGCATGCATCCTAACTCACAAGATAGGATAACCACAAAGCTCAGCAATAACAACAACAAGTCACACGACAAGCAAAGGCAATAACAAATATAGCATCACAATCCAGCCTTATACCAAGTTCCAACATTTACTCCTCTCCATCCTTATATCAGTTCCAACCTGTACCTCCATCCCACCCTTATAACTCCACCCCCTTATCCCTCCGGAGCACTTCATGGCTCCCCTCCAACATTCCACCGATCTGATAGCACCCCAATGCCATTCGCATAATCCGTGCTTCTAGCACCACTACCAAGGGGTCAGCGCATATAGCTTTGACATGGCACCGCAGTTCTTATAACTTGATCAATGCCTTTATCAAACTAATCAAGGTTGGTTCGTGCCTTCAGCACGATAACCGAATGGTCTGTGCCTTTAGCACAATGACCCGGCACTCGTTGTGCCAAATTCCAACAATTCTTTTCCACCAATCACATCTCCTTCTCATCGGGTATAATCAATCAGTCAACATGCACAACAATGCAGTGGCCACCGCTCAATGACAACAGCAATCAATACACATCAACACATAGCAATGGATAGTCAAAGGGAAGGCACAACAATTATATCAACAAGTGACATCAGCATAACACGCAACCCACAAGATACGGCCTAAACTCTACTTCCCAAGTCAACGAGACAACCACAAGACACCTACGGGATCATACAAGTCTCATCCTAGGTCAACGGAATACTAACTTAACCCACATGCAATAATCATAACTCATAACTCCCAAAACGGTACCTGAAATATCAAACGACACTCATAAACATCAAACGGGGCACATGGAAACACAAAACGAGACCAAACAACACACCACCCCGCCCATACCAGCGGGTGTACGACGGTTGATCAACCACCCGCCGGTGGGTGGCACCATGTACCAGCGGGTGCACGGCGGGTGGTCGTCCACCCGCTGGTACCGTGGTGTGTACCTGGCGGGTGGTCAGGTGGGGATTCGTCCCCCCACCGACCCCCCGCTGGTACGATGGTATCTCGGCACTTTTCCCACCTGGAAATTCATCCGTTAATCCCAAAACCGAGTCTGAATACATCCCAATACATAACGACCACAATATAGACTTGAACCACAAGAATTAAGCCAAGAAGCCAACACAAACAAATCCTAAATTCATGCTCCTAACATATCAAGATCCAAGAATCAATTCCTAAACATGCAAGAACAACAAGAATCACAATAACATCAAGATCCCATCAAATAAACCCTAACGACAAGCAATAGACATGCTCAAACGCAAGATCACGTATATAATTCATCACAACATCAAGATTATCAAATAAATATATCATAAACCCTAGACAAAGCTCTATCAAGACTCAATCACGGAATCACACATACTGATGGGGTGAGGACCCCGGCCCAAGGAGATGGGCCCAAAAGAGAAGGATTCCAAGATAGAAGATATTGGTTAGTGAAAGAAAAGCCCGGTGGTGACCTGGGTCGAGCCCAGGAGTCGGCCCAGGCCCAAGTGGGGGAGGAGACTCGGCCCAGGAGCCAGTAAGAAGCACTCAAAGTCGGTCCAAGAGCCGTTGGGGGAACACTCAATGCGGCACTCAAGAAGATTCGGCCAAATGAACCGTTAGGGGTCCAAAGAGCCGTTGGCCGATTCAGCAACAGCACCCGAACGGTCTTATAGTGTAATTCGCCTTGAAGGCGATATTTAATGTACTTCAATTCGGCTGGAGAGGAGCCTATTATATAAAGGCCCCTCCACCCTTGTAAGAGGGGCGAGTCCAGGCCCAGGAAGAAAAGACACACGTTTCCTATTACTCTTTCAACTATTCTTTCGTTTTCTTAGAGCTTTTTGTGAAAGGTGAATCCATCGACCAAGGTTGTGTTGGACCTCCCTGGGCCTAAAACCCCTAAAACCAACACTGGCGCCGTCTGTGGGGATCGAAACAAAGAGCTACGTGACTTTCTGAGTGGGGCGAGTCCGCAAGTCGACCGAGAAAGCATCGCAGCATGTCGGAAGGATGGGGCCAGACGAATAACCGCGATAATGGAGCGGAAGCGGATTTGAGAGAGCAATTAAACCAACGAAAGGCCCAATGCCAGGAAAACGAAACGGCACCGGTGAACCGGCAACCGCCTATGATATCCCTCACCCCGGAGCAACTCCATGCGATCGGGCGAGCCTTCGCTGACGCAAGTCGAGGAGTGAGGGACCAGTCTGTCTCTAGACCGATGCCGCACAATTAGCAGCCTTCCCAGAGGCCAGAAGACAGACGAGAGAACCGACGGGCAGAGATTCAACCAGTACGATCAGTCCATTCGAGGCTGGGCCCAAACGCCGGACGACAATCTGCAAGAGAACGACTGGGAGAGAGGGAGCCCAGTCGCGCACCAGCGGGCCCCAGAGATCGAGAAGACGGTCGCGAGAGAATCCACACCAGAAGAACCAGGACTCGGGCACGTTGAACCGAGCGACTTGCGCGCAATGACGACCGACCAGTTGAATCAGAAGTCGGCGAAAGTACCGAATCCACAGGAAACCATACTCGCAATAGAGGCGAAGTGGCTCAATTGGCACGAGAGGTGCGAGATCTGAAGGAACAAATGGAGGGAAGGACCAAATCCCCCGGACAAACGTTGCTCACCGCTTTGCCATTCTCCTCCGAGATCATGTTTTACAAAGTACTCGGCGACTTCAAATTCCCGGAACAGGCCACCTTCGATGGATCCAGAGATCCACGCGAACATCTGCTCAGTTATCAGGCCAAGATGCAGGTCTTAGGAGTCCGTGACCCGGTAATGTGTCGCGCCTTCTTGCCCACGCTAAAGGGCTCGGCACAAAGGTGGTTGGTGGCGCTGCCTCCAGGATCGATTCACAATTTTGAGGAGCTGGCCGATCGCTTCATGAGTCATTATGCAGCCAACATCAAACCACAAAGGGATCTGACCCATCTAGGAGACGTACACCAAGAGGAAGGTGAGTCCTTGAAAACCTACTTGGCTCGCTGGCAAAAAGAGATCCAGTCTGTCGAGGACCAGACCGCACTCACCTTCTTCATCGAGTCCTTGCAATCCGGGCAGCTATACCGGGATCTACGGGATAACCGCCCGGCCACCTACGCGGAAGCCATACACATGGCTAATAAGAGGGCTAACACGGCGCAGGCCATGAAGCACAAACGACAGCGTGAGGTCGGAGGATCCACTGGTGGAAAGAGGACCCGCGCGGAAACTAAGGAAAGGCGTCCAAAAGTAGCTCGCCAGTCCGAAGTTAGGCGTCCGTATGATAGGCCTGCCGTTCACCCCTATAGACCGGCTCCTCAACATCCGGTACACGAGGTACAAGCAGTCGCTCCACCTCCATCCCCGCTGACTGACGATCGCGTGACGAACGAGGAGACAGGTAAGACCTCTAAGTACTGCCGTTATCACAAATCTTATACTCACAGCACGGAAGAGTGCTTTTACTTGAAGAAGATCATGGAAGGAATCATCCAACAACGGACCCCGCCTCTTAATCAGTGGAGGAGAAGGTCGGCGGCCTAGGAAGACAATGACCCCGCAGTCGCCGCGGAAAGCAGTCGCGGCAAGCAACCAGCGACCGAGGAAGACGAGGCCCAGTGGCGTCAGAAGCTGGTCTTCAACATGATAGTCGGGGGGCCAGAAGGAGGTGACTCGGTGAACACCAGGAAGGCCTGGGCTCGGCAGTTGTATGTCGGGACGGTATACGGGCGCGAAGAAGGCTCGAAGAAAGTGTGCCAAGAGCCCATCACGTTCACTGACAAAGACCTACCCACAGGAGAGACACCGCATCGGGATGCCCTGGTCATAGCAATGGATGTGAATGGGGTGGTCGTTCAACGAATCCTGGTGGATACCGGGAGCAGTGTCAACGTACTATACCTTGAGACATTCACCAAAATGGGACTAACCCGAGAACGGTTGAACCCAGTCAAGACGCCACTCGCCGACTTCACAGGCGACTCGGTAGAGGCAGAAGGATCCATTACCCTGCCGCTGGAGATTGGTAGCTACCCGGACGTGCAGAAGCTCGACATGAAATTCATTGTGGTAGACTTGGCCTGCTCACATAATGCCATACTCGACCGACCAGGCCTGGAAGATTTGGGAGCACTAATCTCCATTGAACACCTCTGCCTGAAATTCCGCACGTCGAATGGGATAGGCGCGGTTCGCTGCGACAGAAGAGTCGCCCGGGATTGCTACCTACAGGCTTGCAGAGGAATGGGTAGGCGTGAGATGGAAGTTCATGAAATCATGGAAAGACCCCCAAAGAAAGCAATGATACCCCGCCCAGAGCTAACCGTGGAGTTAGAGGAGGTCGAAATCGACCCAGAGCGACCATACAGGCGGGTCCGGATTGGGGTCGGTCTCCGAGAAGAAGTACGAGAGGAAGTCATCAGGATACTTCGAGAGCACCGACTAGTCTTCGCTTGGGGCCCGGAAGACATGCCGGGTGTCGACCGGTCCATCATCGCCCACCGACTCGCCGTAGATCTGGACCACCGGCCGATCACACAGAAGAAGCGTTACTTGGCCAACGACAGGAGGGAGTTTGTGAAAAAAGAGGTGAGCACGTTGCTGGCTGCGGGCCATATCCGAGAGGTCAAATACCCAGAATGGTTGGCGAATGTAGTTCTCGTACCGAAGCCTCCAGCTTGGCGAATGTGCGTGGATTATACCGACCTTAACAAGGCCTACCCGAAGGATCCGTTCCCCTTACCACGGATTGATCAGTTGGTCGACGAGACCGCCGGGTCGGCTTTGCTGAGTTTTATGGACGCCTTCAGGGGGTATCATCAGATCTTCATACACCCGGCTGACGAGGAGAAGACCGCGTTCCTAACGCCGGACGGAGTGTACTGTTACCGAGTTATGCCCTTCAGGCTTAAGAACGCAGGGGCTACTTACACTCGGATGGTCGCCCGACTATTCCAAGACCTATTGGGGAAGTCCATGGCGGCCTACGTAGATGATATGCTGGTCAAGAGCCGGGAGGAGGCCAAGCACGCGGAGGATTTGGCCGACTGCTTCCAGGTGATGCTAAGGTATAATCTCCAACTAAACCCAAAAAAGTGTGCCTTCGCGGTGCAAGGAGGTAAGTTCTTGGGGTACATGGTGACCAAGAGAGGCATTGAGCCCAACCCCGAGAAGGTTCAAGCTATCATCGACATGCAACCTCCCAGTACCGTTAAAGACTTGCAACGGCTGACTGGTCGATTGGCTGCCCTCAGTCGCATCTTAAGCAAGGCGGCGGATAGGACCATACCATTCTTCAAAGCCATGAAGAAGAAAGAAGGCTTTGCATGGACGGCTGAATGCCAACAATCGTTCGAAGAGCTGAAGCAATATCTTTCCACGCCACCGGTGTTGTCCACCCCTCAGGTGGGGGAGCCCTTGTTTCTATACTTAGCTGCCTCCCCCAGGGCGGTAAGTTCAGTACTCGTCCGGGAAGAAGAGCGTACCCAGCATCCGGTAAATTACGTGAGCCGCTCCTTAAAGGCCACTGAGGCGCGGTACACGGCCTTGGAAAAGATCGTCTACGCGTTAGTAATTACTGTACGCAAGTTGGCACCTTATTTCCAAGCCCACACCGTTCGGGTCCTGACCGACCAGCCTCTGGGGAGTGTGTTGCAAAACCCCACGTCGTCGGGTCGATTGGTAAAATGGGCCGTGGAATTGACCCAGTATGGGATCGAGTATCAGCCACGCCCGTCCATTAAGGGGCAAGCCTTAGCCGACTTCTTGGTCGAGTGCACCGTAGGGGAAGGCGATAAAGAGGGCACCATGGAAGATAACCCAGGCGAATGGTGGCAGATGCACGCGGACGGAGCGGCGAGTCGACAACACTACGGAGGCAGAGTCATGCTAATTACCCCGGAAGGATTCCGGCTCTACTATGCCCTAAGCTATCTGTTTCCAGCGTCCAATAACGAAGCAGAATACGAGGCTGTAACACCCCAGATTTTCAAGACATTTAAAACTTATAAAATAATGGTGAAATCTCATTAAATCCCAAAACATAATACAAGAGTACGGGGTGATATGCCACACCTGAGCTAGAGAACTCAGGTGCACAGGCTAACTAACTAATATCCTCAATAATGTAAATGCATAAGCATGGCACGCAGGCCGAAAGGGAAACTATCTACTTCTACGCTCCAAGTTCTAGCGCGCTCCAGTGACTTATTCTTCCGTGCCTGAAAGCCAAATATATCTGTTCAGCGAGAGATGCTGGTAACCCACACCAACGCGTTGAAATACAATACATATAGATATATATATAGATATACGAAAACCATTTTGAACATGAAGATATACCCTACGAACTCTAGCTTTTAAAACAGGGATAGACTCCACAGATAGGGCTAAGCACAGACAGCAGTTATACCAAGCATATGCAGTTTACAACAGGCAAGACAGATAAGATAAGCACAATTAATAATCATAACTCAACATATACGATTCCCGATATGAAACCCATAGTCACATCCCCAAGGCACTCATAACAACAACTCCTCCATATCTCATCACATAGCACACTTTGTTGGCGCCACAGGACCAATCGCATGCCCATACATGAGGGTCAGCGCGTATAGCTCTGACACGGCCCCGCAGCACCCTGCCCCGTATCGCAACACAGAGGGGTCGATCGCAACCGACCGATGAACCGCAGCTCATCATAGTGTTTGATCGCAACCAAACAGTGGACCGCAGCCCAAGAGTATGTCATCTGACCGCAGCCAGGAAATATGAACCGCAGCTCATGTAGAAACGTTTGATCGCAACCAAACGGTGGACCGCAGCCCGGGAGTGTAAATCTGACCGCAGCCAGCTTCTAAACCGCAGCTCAGGAATAATCAATCCATCGCAACCGAATTGGGGTATCATGCACACATAACACATAGCAAGCACATGCAACCCACATTAACACATTGGGAAGGGGGAGAAAGCGTATAACAAAACCTATGCATGATCCTTCACATACTAAGCATAATCCTAAGGGGTTCATACTTCCTTCACCAAGGTCAACGGGATACCAATTCAACTAGCATGCAATATATAAGACTCATACAACCTACGAACGGTACCCGAAATATCAAACTAGACATATGCACGATAGACGGAGTCCGTTGGGACACCACGGGGGTCGGGGGAACATCAAACGGGGAAGCCAAAATCCCAAAGTGGGGTCCAAACCAGCGGGTAGCCGGTGGGTGAGGGATCACCCGCCGGCGGTAACTAAACCAGGTAGCGGGTGCCCGGCGGGCAGCTGCCCGCTGCCGGCGTTGCCCAAGAAGGCCTCGGGTAGGTGGCGGGTCCCCTACCCCTCACTGACTCTTTTTCACCAAAAACGCCACGAGAACCTTTGTGGAACCCGAAACCATGCTTAGACACTTTCAAACGCAATTGATAACACACGTAGACAATTAACGGGTCAAAGATCGAGAAACATATGGCACATAACCTATCATGCTTTTCTAAACATAATCAACACCCAATCATGCGAATTCCCACCCAATATACCCAGAATAATTCCATACGATACAACCTAGGGTTCTAATCGTTTTTAAATCAACAAGGACACAATTCATCTTCCAATATCAAGATTCGGTAAGAATATCATATAAACATCAAGAACATCCTACAATCATCAAGAACATCATATAATCATCAAGAACGTCATATAATCATCAAGAACACCATAATTATCAAGAACCCTTCATCATCAAGATCACTCATGGAATTATCCCATCAACCATCAATAAGAATATCACAAATCATCAATACACAATAATATGGGGAAATCCTACGAGGGAAATCATAGCTATGAAAATAGGTTTTGTTGAGACATGGGTTACCTCTTAGCCTTAATTAATTCCTTGGCTATGAAGGGTCTTTCTTTAAGCTTTCTTGCTTTCTTGATTTCTTCTAAGGGAATTCTTGGAGCTCTTTGGGGTGGTGAGTCGTTTATTGTGGTGGGGGGTTCTAGGTGCCTCTTAAATCCCCTATTTATATATTTAGGAGTCCTGGTTAGGAACTAATATTATAGGCTTGCTAATTCTATTCCTTTTGGAACTAAGGATTGGGTTTAGGGATAAGGGCCCGTGGACTATGGTGGGCTTTTCCTAATTAATTATTGTGATTTAATTCTTTCTTTTGGGTGATTGATTAAATGATTTAATTGATTTTAGGGATCGTAACACGGGGTGTTACACTCTCCCCCCCTTAACAGAAAGCTTCGTCCCCGAAGCTTGGTCCTTGTCGAGTGACCTCTTCCTAGTTACCTGGTGCAAATAGTTCGGGGTAGCGTTCCCTCATCGTGTCCTTGAGTTCCCATGTTGCTTCCTCGGTCCCATGATTGGTCCAGATAACTTTTACCATTTCTATGGTTCGACGTCGTGTGGTCCTCATCTTGGTGTCCAGGATTCTCACGGGTTTTTCTTCGTATACTAGTGACTCGTCGAGGTCCACGGCCTCGGGTTGAAGTACGTGTCTCGGGTCGTGCACGTATTTCTTTAGCTGGGATATGTGGAATACGTTGTGTACTCGTTCTAGTTCAACGGGTAGCGCGAGGCGATAGGCTAGGTTCCCAACTCTTTCTATAATCTCGTAGGGGCCGATGAATCGTGGACTGAGCTTCCCTTTTCTTCTGAATCTCATCACCCCTCGTGTGGCCGAGATTCTCAACCAAACCTTGTCCCCGGTGTTGAACTCGGCTTGTTTCCTCTTTAGGTCGGCATAGGACTTCTGACGGTCCTGGGCAGTCTTCATCCTTTCCCAGATGTGTTTGATCTTGGTGATGGTATCTTGTAGGTGTTGGGGCCCTAGTGCTATTGGGTCGACCATGTCTTCCCAACATAAGGGGGTCCTACACTTTTGTCCGTATAGAGCTTCGTAGGGCGCCATACGAATGCTTGCGTGGTAGCTGTTGTTGTATGAAAATTCGATGAGGTCTAGGTGTTCCTCCCATGTTCCTTGAAAGTCCAACACACAGGCTCTTAGCATGTCTTCGAGAGTTTGAATGGTTCTCTCGGTCTGGCCGTCCGTGGTGGGGTGGAAGGCGGTGCTTAACTTTAGTTGTGTTCCCAAGGCTAGTTGCAGGGATTTCCAGAATTGTGATAGGAACCTGGAGTCTCTGTCGGATACGATGTTTCGGGGGACTCCGTAGTACTTCACTACTCGACTCAAGTAGGTTTGGGCTAGTTGCGTCATTGTCCACGTTTCCTTCATAGCGATGAATCGCGCAGTTTTGGTTAGTCGGTCCACTATGACCCAAATCTTATCCTTGCCAGTCTTTGTTGGGGGTAATCCTCTGACGAAGTCCATGGATATGGAATCCCACTTTCCTTGTGGTATCTCCAGGGGTTGTACGAGTCCCTTGGGTTTGCATCGTTCGGCCTTCACCCTTTGGCAATTCAGGCACCTGGCCACGAAATCCGCGATCTCATTTTTCATGTTGGGCCACCAAAACGACCTTTTTATGTCTTGGTATAGTTTGTCACCTCCTGGGTGAACTGAGTATGGGGAGTTGTGTCCTTCTTCCAAGATTTGTTGTTCCAAGTGGGGGCACGTTGAGGGAACGCACCACCTTCCTTGGTAACGGAGACTGTCGTCTTCGTGTATTTTGAAGGGCCCTTCCTTCCCCTGGGTCAGGTCGCGGCGGATCTTATCTAGTTCCGGGTCTTGTTGTTGTCCTATTTTGATTTCTTCGAAGAGTGTAGGTATGACTTGTGCGTTAAGCAAGTGGGCGTCGGGGTAGATTTGGTCTTGCTTTATTATTTCCAAATTCAGTCTTTGGAAATCCCTGTACAGCTGGTCCGGTAGGATCCAGGTGGTGTTGAGGGCGTGGCTAGTCTTCCTACTTAGGGCATCCGCCACAACGTTAGCTTTTCCCTCATGGTATTGGATGTCTAGGTCGTAGTCCTTTATGAGTTCTAACCACCTTCGTTGTCTCATGTTTAGGTCCTTCTGGGTGAAGATGTATTTTAGGCTCTTATGGTCTGTGTAAATCTTGCATTGCACCCCATATAAGTAATGCCTCCAAATTTTTAGTGTGAACACGATAGCGGCTAGTTCGAGGTCGTGGGTGGGGTAGTTTTCTTCGTGGGTTTTGAGCTGCCTGGATGCGTAGGCTATTACTCGGCCTTTTTGCATTAGCACGCACCCCAGCCCCTTTTTGGATGCGTCACTGAAAACCTCGAATCCTTCCTCTCCGGAGGGGATGGCGAGTACAGGAGCCGTGGTTAGCTTATCCTTCAATTCTTGAAAAGCCGAGATGCAGTCGTTGTCCCATCGGAAGGGGGTTTCCTTTTTCATGAGTTTGTTGAGGGGTTGGGTTATCCTGGTAAAGTCGGGTACAAACCTTCTGTAGTAGCCTGCCAAGCCTAGGAAGCTTCAGACTTCGGTGAGTGAGCTTGGTGTGGTCCATTCCTTAACGGCATGGATTTTGGCGGGGTCTACCTTAATTCCTTCCTTGGCTATCACGTGGCCCAGGAAGGCCACACGGTCCTTCCAGAATTCGCATTTAGAGAACTTGGCGTAGAGTTGGTGCTTCTTTAGAGTTTGCAGGGTTGTGCGGAGGTGTCTTTCATGTTCTTCCTCGTTGCGGGAGTAGACTAGGATGTCGTCGATGAATACAATGATGAAGTCATCCAAGTGGGGTCGGAATACTCGGTTCATAAGGTCCATGAATATGGCAGGTGCGTTGATGAGTCCGAAGGGCATTACTGTGAATTCATAGTGGCCGTAACGTGTTCGGAAAGCTGTTTTCGGAATGTCCGGTTTGGCCACTTGTATTTGGTGATACCCGGATCTCAGATCGATTTTCGAAAATACCCCTGCCCCTTTAAGTTGGTCGAATAAGTCGTCGATTCGGGGAAGGGGGTACTTATTCTTTATTGTGACTTGGTTAAGTTCCCTGTAGTCGATGCACAGGCGCATGCTTCCATCCTTCTTTTTAACAAATAACACTGGCGCTCCCCATGGGGATGCGCTAGGGCGGATGTAACCCTTTTCTAGCAATTCATGTAGTTGTGTTTTCAGTTCCTTCATTTCTTTTGGTGCCAACCGGTAGGGTGGTTTAGAAATCGGGGCAGCGCCTGGTACGAGATCTATGGTGAACTCGACTTCTCTGGCTGGGGGTGCCCCGGGGATTTCGTCCGGGAAGACGTCGGTGAACTCGTTTACTACTGGAATGGTTTGTGGTTCGGGGATTTTGGTGTCGAGGTCCTCGACCGTACATAAGAACGTCTCGCTTCCCTTGTTTAGGTACTTCTTCATTTTCATCATGTTTACCATTTGATCCCGGCTTCTCGGTGGGTCCCACGGTATGACACTCTCTTGCCGTTTGGTCCCCGTAGGACCACTTTTTGTTCTCCGCATAGAATCTGTGCTTGGTATTTCCCTAGCCAATCCATGCCCAAGATCACCTGCACTCCATCCAGTTTGAATCGGATAAGATTGCTGGGAAAATCCACCCCTTGTATGGTAATCATTACATTTTCGTACATGCGGTCGCATTTTAGGATCTCGCCGGAGGCCACCTTGACCTGAAGTCGGACCTTGGTGTTGGCGTTGAGGTCGAGCTGAGTGGCAAACTCAGTTGCTATAAACGAGTTGGTAGTCCCCGAGTCAAATAGTATGGTGGCGGGAGTGGCGTGTACCAGGAAGGTTCCGGAGACTATGTTGCTATCTCCAATCCTGGCTTTGCTTAGAGTAAGGATTCTCCCTTGAGTGGTTGGTGTTATGACCTGTTGAGGTGAGGCGGCCCTGGGGTTTTTAGGCCCACGGGTGGAGTTCTTGTGATTTCCTTCAGATTTCCTTTTGTACCCCAGGTGTGTCTCCCGGGGTTGGTTTGGCACTTGTTGTAGTTGGGATGCCTTGGCATAGGCCTCCCCGAGGGTTCCTAGCTCTTGTGTGGCCAGGGCTTTTTGATATTCGGGGTCAAGGCCTATTATGAACTTTTCAATCCTGATCCTCTCGGTGGGTACTAGCTCGGGAATGAGGCGAGCCAGTCGGTGGAATTGTTAGTAGTATTCCGTGATCGAGGTTGCACTTTGTCTTAGGTGGAGGAATTCTTCGTATATGGTGGCTCTTAGATGATTGGGATAGAATCGTTCTCGTAGTCGTGTCTTTAGGGATTCCCAGTTGAATTCATGGTTATGTTTACACGTGGGTCCCTCGTGGTCCCACCAGGTATCGGCCTCGTGCTTGAAATAGAAGGAGGCTATTCTTACTTGGTGGTCTTCGGGGCATTTGGTTGTCCTGAATATCTTGTCGAAAGTCCCGATCCATTCCTCGAGGACTGTGGGGTCTTCGTTCCCTGAGAAGGTGGGTGGTTGATGTGCCGAGACTTGGTGGTGGATTTCCAAGTTCTCGTTTGTTGGTAAGGGTTGGGGAATGGTAGTCCTTAGTGCCTGGGCAATTTGGGCCAGGCGTTGCAGATTCTGTGTCAAGAATTCCTGAGTGGGGAGTTTCGGTGTTCCTGTCTGTCCCTTTTTCGGTGCCATCCTGGTGTTCATAAGTCGATGTTATTTTGTATTCTTACCTGGATGCAGCAAGTGAAGGGGGGAGTTTTCTTTTTAAAGAGGGAGTAAGTGGGTGGGTTATGTGTAGGTTTCACAATCTCACCGCGCGTCCTAGGATTCCCAAATCTTATCTTCCTAAGTACCTAGAGTTCAAGCCTAATGTCCTAAAGTCCGGTCTTAAGAGTCTTATCCTAGGGTCAAACTTAGGTTCTGATACCAACTGTAACACCCCAGATTTTCAAGACATTTAAAACTTATAAAATAAAGGTGAAATCTCATTAAATCCCAAAACATAATACAAGAGTACGGGGTGTTATGCCACACCTGAGCTAGAGAACTCAGGTGCACAGGCTAACTAACTAATATCCTCAATAATGTAAATGCATAAGCATGGCACGCAGGCCGAAAGGGAAACTATCTACTTCTACGCTCCAAGTTCTAGCGCGCTCCAGTGACTTATTCTTCCGTGCCTGAAAGCCAAATATATCTGTTCAGCGAGAGATGCTGGTAACCCACACCAACGCGTTGAAATACAATACATATAGATATATATATAGATATACGAAAACCATTTTGAACATGAAGATATACCCTACGAACTCTAGCTTTTAAAACAGGGATAGACTCCACAGATAGGGCTAAGCACAGACAGCAGTTATACCAAGCATATGCAGTTTACAACAGGCAAGACATATAAGATAAGCACAATTAATAATCATAACTCAACATATACGATTCCCGATATGAATCCCATAGTCACATCCCCAAGGCACTCATAACAACAACTCCTCCATATCTCATCACATAGCACACTTTGTTGGCGCCACAGGACCAATCGCATGCCCATACATGAGGGTCAGCGCGTATAGCTCTCACAAGGCCCCGAAGCACCCTGCCCCGTATCGCAACACGGAGGGGTCGATCGCAACCGACCGATGAACCGCAACTCATCATAGTGTTTGATCACAACCAAACAGTGGACCGCAGCCCAAGAGTATGTCATCTGACCGCAGCCAGGAAATATGAACCGCAGCTCATGTAGAAACGTTTAATCGCAACCAAACGGTGGACCGCAGCCCGGGAGTGTAAATCTGACCGCAGCCAGCTTCTGAACCGCAGCTCAGGAATAACCAATCCGATCGCAACCGAATTGGGGTATCATGCACACATAACACTAGCAAGCACATGCAACCCACATTAACACATTGGGAAGGGGGAGAAAGCGTATAACAAAACCTATGCGTGATCCTTCACATACTAAGCATAATCCTAAGGGGTTCATACTTCCTTCACCAAGGTCAACGGGATACCAATTCAACTAGCATGCAATATATAAGACTCATACAACCTACGAACGGTACCCGAAATATCAAACTAGACATAGGCACGATAGACGGAGTCCGTTGGGACACCACGGGGGTCGGGGGAACATCAAACGGGGAAGACAAAATCCCAAAGTGGGGTCCAAACCAGCGGGTAGCCGGTGGGTGAGGGATCACCCGCCGGCTGCCCGTCGGCGGTAGCTAAACCGGGCAGCGGGTGCCCGGCGGGTAGCTGCCCGCCCGCCGGCTGCCCGCTGTCGGCGTTGCCCAAGAAGGCCTCGGGTTGGTTGGGGTCCCCTACCCCCCACTGATTCTTTTTCACCAAAAACGCCCCGGGAACCTTTGTGGAACCCGAAACCATGCTTGGACAGGTTTCAGGCACCTGCGAAGCTAAGAACGCTCGGATGGCCCAGTACAAGGAAAAAGCGATAGAGATGCTGAGTGGATTCGGGATGTATGAAATCGAATACATTCCGCGAGCGGACAACACTAAGGCTGACATATTATCAAAAATTGCCCTGGAAGGGGTACCAGATCACCTCGTCAAGATTTGTCAAAAAGAGGAGTTAAATCGACCAAGTATAGAGGAGACGACGTTAGAAATCCGACAGGTAGCTGTCGAAGAGTGGGATCGAGAGAAAAATCCCAAGATGTTCTGGATCGACGACATCCGCCGATATAAAGAAACATGGGAGTTACTAGAGGACCCAGGAGTCGCCGCGAGGGTTCGACGAAAGGCCCCCTCGTTCGAAATCATTGACGGACAAATGTACAAGCTTTCATTCGGAGGCCCCCTCTTAAAATGCCTACTTAGGCCCGAGGCGGAGAAAATAATGGACGAAGCCCATCGAGGGATTTGTGCCGCCCACCAAGGCGCCCACACTCTCGCCCGGAAGCTGGTCGTCCAGGGATACTATTGGCCGACCATGATGCGAGATTGCATTGAGTGGATAGCTAAGTGCGGCGTTTGCCAAGCCTTCGCCCGGAACGATACTCGGCCGGCCCCCTTTTACACTCCGGTCACCACAGCCATCCCGTTTGCTAATTGAGGAATCGACTTGTTGGGTCCACTACCGGTCGCCCCTGGACGTCTGAAATTCTGTGTCGTGGCCATCGATTACTTCACCAAATGGGTCGAGGCCGAGCCGCTGGCCACCATCACTGAGTACCAGTGTCGACGCTTCCTGTGGAAGAAGGTGATTTGCCGCTTCAGCCTGCCTGAGCACGTGGTCAGCGATAACAGCCGACAGTTTGACTGTCAAGCCTTCGCCGACTTCTGTTGCCAACACAGTATACGACACACCAAGGTATCCGTCGCGTACCCTCAGGCCAATGGACAGGTCGAAAACGTAAACCGAACGATAGTGGATGGAATCCGGAAGAAGTTGGAGAACATTGGGGGAAATTGGACGGATGAGCTCGACCGAGTCCTATGGGCTTATCGAACTACGCAAAGACGGGCGACCGAAGAGAGTCCATTTTCCCTAGCATACGGCTTCGAAGCCAAGGTTCCGATAGAAGTCGTCGAACCCACCCACCGAGTCCGCGACTATTCCGACGAGGAAAATGAGGAGAACCTTAGAATCGAAAAGAACTTCTTTGAAGAGAGAAGGGAGGTTGCCTACGCCCGAATGGTAGAATATCAGCGAGCCGTGAAGAGATATCGTGATCGAAGGATTCGCCCACGAACCTTTCAGGTCGGCGATCTCGTACTACGGGATCGACGGGCGAGCCAGCCTACGAAAGGGGGTAAATTCGCAATCAAGTGGGAAGGACCTTATCGCATTGCAGCCGTGGTCCAGGCTGGCACCTATAAGCTGGAGACCCTGGAGGGAAAGCCCGTAGACCGGATCTGGAATGTCATTCACTTGAAGAAGTTCTACCAGTAAGAGGTTAGCCATGTATGAATATCCGAGTTTCCAATCTTAAATAAAAGAGCTTCGATTACCGTCGAGTATCATTTTTTGCGAGAAGAGATAGGAAACAAGGGCCCAGACCCTTAGTTATTCCCGTGAAAGAGCCAAGAGGAGTCGCCTCGACTGAGGGACTCGGCAAGAAATTAAAGAAACAGCGGGGCACTGACCCTAAACTGTTTATAAGTAAAGAAAAAGCCTAAGGGGTCGCCTCGACTGAGGGACTCGGCGAGAAGAGATAGGAAACAAGGGCCCAGACCCTTAGTTGTTTCCGTGAAAAAGCCAAGAGGAGTCGCCTCGACTGAGGGGCTCGGCGATAAATTAAAGAAACAACGGGGCACTGACCCTAAACCGTTTATAATTAGATTAAAAGCCTAAGGGGTCGCCTCGACTGAGGGACTAGGCGAGAAGAGATAGGAAACAAGGGCCCAGACCCTTAGTTGTTTCCGTGAAAAAGCTAAGAGGAGTCGCCTCGACTGAGGGACTCGGCGAGAAATTAAAGAAACAACGGGGCACTGACCCTAAACCGTATCTAAGTAAAGAAAAAGCCTAAGGGGTCGCCTCGACTGAGGGACTCGGCGAGAAATTAAAGAAACAACGGGGCACTGACCCTAAACCATTTCTAAGTAAAGAAAAAACCTAAGGGGTCGCCTCGAATGAGGGACTCGGCGGGAAGAGATAGGAAACAAGGGCCCAGACCCTTAGTTGTTTCCGTGAAAAAGCCAAGAGGAGTCGCATCGACTGAGGGACTCGGCGAGAAATTAAAGAAACAACGGGGCACTGACCCTAAACCGTTTCTAAGTAAAGAAAAAGCCTAAGGGGTCGCCTCGACTGAGGAACTCGGCGAGAAGAGATAGGAAACAAGGGCCCAGACCCTTAGTTGTTTCCGAGAAAAAACCAAGAGGATCCAGTACTGGCTTGAGGCCCTAGCTCTCGGGAGTGAAGGTAGAGTCGCGGGCCAGCAGGACAGCGTGAATTTCCGTTTGGGCATCGCAAAAACCCAGACGATAGTCGCGCTTACCCAAGTCTAGGAGATACTCGGCTCCTTCCGGCGTCGCCAGCCACTCCTTGGCGATCTCCTCCTGTCGAGCCGCCACCGCCGCCTTCACATCCGCTTCGAAGGCCGCCGACTTCTTGTAATCCTCCACTGAAGTGGTGGCAATCGTCGCGACCTTGTCCCGCTCCTCCTCCCACTGGCGGGTGACCCTCAGTAGTTCAGAGGTGTGCACCTCCACCGATTTGGCATGCACGGCCTGCTCTTCCAGACGAGCCTCCTCCGTTTGACGCAGGCGAGTAGCAAGAGATTGCATCGCAGCCTTATACCCCCTCAGCCGTTTACTCAGCTCCATCTGGAAGGTGAGGTTCTGCAAAAAGAAGTGAAAAGTTAGATAAAGACAAGGAAAAAGAAGAAGCAAGGGGTCGGAACACTTACGCGGTACGACTGGCGGAGTGAGGCTTCCAGGATGTACTCATCCTGCATCGAGCTGGTCATCTCCACGTCCTTGGGCAGAAGGACGTGTTTGGCCCAATTCCAGACCGAAGAACTGCCCTGCCAGATCTGGGCGTTCTCGTCGAGCTCGATACCTAACCGGATCCTCTTTGGAGCCGACGCATCCGACTACTCTACGGGCCGCTTGGAGCTCGGGCTCTCAGATGAGGGCGGAGGCGGCTGCCGGGAAGGCGAAGCAGCTGGAGACGGCGTCAAGTCCAACACAGTTCGTGGTGGTGGCGGAGTCGACCTCGAGGTCGGAGAAGGGAGAGACGAGGAAGCAGCAGCAGCACCCGAGGTGCGTTGAGATAGCCGACGCCTCATTTCTTTTCAGCACAGTCAGCCATTTCTGGAGTCAGAGCCTCGGCTTCGTCTGAACTGGTGGAGTCGGAGTCGTAAAGACCTGCGGAAAAGAAAAAGAGACAAGTGTTAGCAGTCGGATCGTACGGGAACAGAAAAAGAAAAAGTTAGGGGAAAACTACCTAAGGTAGCCGCACCGGCTGGCAGCAGGCCCCATTTCGCCATAGCTCAAACCCGAGATTAGTACTTAACGGAGTAAGGTCCCCAGCTCCTCAAGAACTCGCCACCCTGGACCGCGTCCTGGGTAAAGACAGCGCGCCGATGGCAGGGCTTGAACAAGGCAGCCGGCCACAGAGTCGGGAAGGTGAAAGGGGTGAAGGAAGGACGGACAAAGAAGAAAACGGGCTTCCAGTCCTTAATGGAATCTGGAAGACCCTCTAAAAGTTGACGCCCAGGACGGGCGGCAACCTGGACAAAGCTCGGTGAATGCGAGCCGACTTTGTTCACGGTGAACAAATATCGGAAGAGATCCAGGTCCGGTTCGCAAAGCCACGAGTGGCATAGATTAATGAAGCAAGTAAGGAGACGGTGTGAATTGGGTACTAGCTGACCCGGAACAAGATTATAATGGCGGTAGAAGAGTGAAAGAAATGGACAAGGAGGCACTCGGACCGAATGCAAATGGATCCCCACACAACCCTCCGGCGGGTCATATATGGGCCGGTTCTCCGGAGCATAGACGAGGGCCGAGGGCCCTAAAAGAAAGCGGGTCATGTCCAGGTCCGCCGCCGTGATTTGCGACTAGGGGTGGGAATGGGCCAGGCCCCTACGTAGGGGCCTATGGCCTGGCCTATTTAAGGCCTGGCTTGGCTTGGCCTGTTTAATAAAAAGGCCAGGCTCAAGCCTATTTAAGAGCCTATTTAGTTAAATAGGCTCAGGCCTATATATAAAAGCCTGGCCTGCGAGCCTGCAGGCCTGTCCTGTTTATATAAAAATATATATAAAATATATATTATATATATCTAATTATTATATATATTACATATTATAACTATTATCTTTTTATATTTATAATATAGCCCACTATATAAACATAAGTATAGTTGTATAACCCTAGACCCTAGTCAAACACTTAGTCGAGACTCGAGACATCAGACATTTGTGAATTGCGATTTACCGGTTCTACAAAAACAGCGAGTCGGCGAGGCGATTTACGGTGCATCCCTGCATCCCGGCGACTCCGGCGAGGCGGCGAGGCGAGTTACTGCACATCCCGGCAAGTCGGCGAGGACAACGGACGTAGGTACGCAGCCACTCAGGCGAAACGGAAACGGCGACGCGACTCAGAATTTGCAGTGACTCCGGTGAGGTTAGTGATTTACTGCGACTCAGAATTGGCAGTGTCTTCTTCCTTCTTCCCTTATCCTTAACTAGTTGTTTATGTGTGTATTGATGGTTAAGAAGCCTTAGATTTCTCTGTGTTGGCAGTGATTTACTTTGTGTTGTTGGCAGTGATTTACTTTGTGTTGTTGGCTAAGAAGCCTAAGAAGCCTTAGATTTCTCTATTTTCTGAAAAAGATCTCTGCCAATTTGCCTAATTGTTCTTAGTTGTAATAATAATGCATACCAAGTAGTGTTATTTATTAATTTTGCAATAAGATTGTTCTATTCCGATCCAGAAAGTCACTGTCTTCACATGAATTGAACTATAATATAATATGTGTTGGGCCATTTACCTACGACATACTTTATTCCCATGAATTGTACTTTGAGTATGTGTTAAACTTATATTAGGAAATCATTTCTTTACTGTTCTTAGTTGCTAATTGCTAACTATACCAATAAGCTAATTAATACATTGATTATTGTTCTTAGTTGCTAATTGCTATTAAGCTAAGCTTCCTATCTTAGTTGCTAATTGCTATTAAGCTAAGCTAATTAGGAAGCTAAGTAATAACAGTAAGGCAGTAAGCTAATTAGGAAGCTAATTAGGAATCTAAGCTAAGCTAATTACTGTTCTTATAATTGCTAATAAAATAAGCTAATTACAGTTGCTAAGCTAAGCTAATTACAGTTGCTGATTAGTGATTACAGTAATAAAATAAGAATGTATTAGTTTAGTTGTTTATTCCTTAACTAGTTGTTTATGTGTGTATTGTTGATGGTTAAATATTTATAAAATTATATAGGATGGCAAGTAACAATACAAATGAATCTACTCCTGAAGAAGTTAATGTGCAAGTTACAACTACAACTCCATCAATTTCTTCAAGTCAACCAATTGAAAGTAACAATTCTGAAGAAGTCAATAGGGTTGAGAATGATTCAATCTTAACAAAAAAGCGGAAAAAAACATCTCAAGTATGGAAGGATTTTGATGAAATTGTACTTGCTAATGGTACAAAGAAAGCAGTGTGTTTGTATTGTAAGGAAAAATACTCTACTGGTGGAAAGGGTGGAAGCACTAGCCATCTTAAGAGGCACTCAGAGATTTGCTTGCAGCGCAAGTTGCATATCTCTCGAGAAAATAAGCAAACAACGATACAATTTTGTCCGCCTAGTGAATCTGGTGGTAATCCTTTTATTGTTCCTAATGCTAAATACTCCAATGAAAAGATGAGAGAGATTATTGCTAGTGGAATCATGGTGCATGAGCGACCATTTAGCATCGTAGAGGATGACATGTTCATGTGGGGTTTTGAATATGCAAATCCAAATTTTAGAAGAGTCAGTCGTAAAACAGCAAGAAGTGATTGTTTGCAATTGTATGAAGCTGAAAAGAATACTTTGAAAAAGATTTTGAATAATGTGAGTAAGGTTAGCATTACAACAGACATGTGGAAGTCAAGTCACCAAGTAGTTGAGTACATGGTTGTGACAGGTCATTTTGTTGATGCAAGTTGGAACCTTCAGAAGAGAGTTTTGAATTTTGTCAAAGTGCCTCCTCCTCGACGGGGAACAGATATAGCAAATGCTATTTTCAAGTGTTTGAGAGGATGGGGCATTGAGAATAAAATATTCTCAGTAACTGTTGACAATGCATCTTACAATGACTCTTGTGTTAGAAGTTTGAAAGAAAACATGTCATTGAGCAGTAAGTTAGTACTTGGGGGGCAACTTTTTCATGTTAGGTGTTGTGCTCACATTCTGAATTTGTTGGTGCAAGATGGCCTTAACACTATTAAAGATATCATTCTCAATGTTCGTGAAAGTGTGAAATTTATAAATTCTTCAGATGCAAGGCTAAAGTCATTCCATGAAGTTGTTGAATTAAAAGGATTGAAAGAAAGGAAACTTATTCTTGATTGTCCAACAAGATGGAACTCCACATTCTTGATGTTGTCTACTGCAAGTAAATTTAAACATGCATTTTCAGATTACAATGAAAAAGAGCCACATTATAAGTATGCACCATCATTTGAGGATTGGGACAAGATTGAGAAGGTTTGTAAACTTTTGGAGGTTTTTAATGATGCCACTCATGTCATCTCAGGTAGTGATTACCCTACTTCTAACTTGTACCTAGCTGAAATTCAAAGGGTGAAAAAGGTTATTGATAATGCAGCTGAGTGTTTTGACATGTTTATGAGTGATATGGCAATACCTATGAAAGCAAAATTTGACAAATATTGGGGGGAGTGTAATTTGTTAATGTCTATTGCATGCGTTTTAGATCCAAGGATGAAATTGAATGGTATTAAGATAACTTTTCCCTTATTGTATAAAACACCAAGTGATGCTGAAAAGAATGTGGAGAAGGTGAAAAAGGCATTAGAAGATTTATATCTTGATTATGTGAACTTGTATAGTCAAGATGCTTCTTCTACTAGTGGACATAGTGAAGTCAATGTTGAAAGCAACACTTTGGTTGATGGTGGACAACAAATGGATAAAGGGATGCAAGAAATATTGAGTATGGTTTACCAAAGTCAATCAATTCCTCTTACGAAATCAGAGTTGGAGACTTATCTTGAGGAAAATCTTTTTATTCCTTCTTCTACTTCATCCTTTTGTGCCTTGGCGTGGTGGAAAAATAATAGCCCAAAGTTTAAAATTTTATCAAAGCTGGCTTGTGATATACTAGTTGTTCCTATTTCAAGTGTGGCATCTGAATCTACATTTAGTGCTGGGGGAAGAGTCATTGATGAATATCGTGCTAGCTTAAATGAGGAATCTATTGAAGCTCTTATTTGTGGTGGGGATTGGCTTCGTAACAAATATGGGCTGAAGAAAAAACAAAAGGTAAGAATCTACTTATTACTTTAATATTTTATATTATTTTATATTACTATTTGTTACTTTAATATTCTCAATTTTTTCATTGTGTAGGGGAATTCTAGACAAGAGGAGATTATGTTGAAGCCATGACTTGTTTAATTTTATGTTTGAATACTATTGTTGTTATTATGTTTAATGTTTCATGTATGTATTGTGGACTTATGATTTATGTTGTTGTTAAACTTGTGAATTTGTGGACTTTTGTATTATGGACTTGTAGACTTGAAGTTATCAAACTTGTATGATTTTGTATTATGAACCCCTACTTATTAAACTTGTGTTGTTGGACATTTTATTATAAAATATGAACTTGGTTTTGTAGTTTATGATTATTGGTTGATTGTAATTTAATAATATTATTATTTTTTACAGGTGTATATTAAAAGTCTTTAAAATGTAGGCTTTAAATAGGCTTTGAGCCTATTTAAATACTCTCAAAGCCTATTTAGAACCTACATTGAAGCCTTTTTAAAAGCCTATTTAGTAAATAGGCTTTTAAAAAGGCTTCAGGCCAGGCCAGGCCTACTGCAGGCCCAGGCTTGCGCCTAAAAAAAAGCCTACATACAGGCCCAGGCCCAGGCCTAGGCTTTACCTTTTCCTAACAGGCCCGGGCCTAATTTTTAAAAGCCTGGCTTGGCCTGGCCCATTTCCACCCCTATTTGCGACGGAAGCACCGCCGGCCGGACAATGGAGTCGAACTTGCCCCGTGGCCGTCCGGCACCATCAGGAAGAGCCGCCACCGTCGTGAGAGGGGCTGGGCTCAGAGGAGTAACCGCCCCCGAAGAAGAGGGGGTCGGTTGAGAAGAAGACGCCGATGGGAAACCTGACGGAATCTCCATACGGCGGGGACTAGAAGAAGAAGACGGAGAGGAGGACGAAGATGTCAAGGCGGGAGATCCCGTCGAGCGACGAGAGGAAGAAGTAGAAGAAGAAGAAGATGACATGGTACCAACCTGAAAGTCCGACGGAGAGAAAGCGCAGAGGAGGTCTGGGAAGGTCTCGAAGGTTTTTGGAAATTTGGAGGAAGTGAGAAAAGAAGGAAGAAGAGAGGTATTTAAATGGGGGAGAATCCCAAAGATCAGTCGCGTGTCACTCTCTCATTAGAGAAAGGAAAAGGTGATAAGAGGTGAAGGGACGCTGCATTTAATGCCTTGGAAACTGGGGTGACGGTTCAGTCCTAGGGTTTGCCTGCAAATGGCGCGTCTACCCTAGGCTAGAATCGGGCAGCGATGACCCGGCCTGTTGGCAGGAGGCCCATTGTAGGTCCTGGCCTCTGGGCCCTCCGAATACGGGTCAGAAGTTTCCAGAAGGATTCAACAAAACCCGACCCGTCAGTCGGCACAGGCGACTTTTAGCAAAGAAGGTCCAAGTCCGGGAGTCGGACAGCCAGATTTTCGGCGACCCCTCAAAGAGAAACGCCTCGACAGAGAAAGACTAAGAGTCGACTAGTGAGTGCATAGAGATAATAAAAAACATTGCAAACAGAAAAAAACGACAAGAACAAACGGTTCATTGATTAGAAAACGGCAAAGGCCTAGGCCTCGACCAACTACAAGTACAAAGGAAAAGACAAGTCATGGCTTGGCCTCCTCCTCTACAGGGCGAGCGGGGGGAGGACCTTCCAAAAAAAGCTGAGGACGGAAGGGTGGAGGACTCGGCTCCAACTCCAATGCCTCGTCCAAATAAATGGCTGGCTTCCCATCATCAATCATCTGCAAAGGCCTCTCCAAAGCACTCGGAGACATAGCCACACCAAAAAGAGGAGGAACCTCCCACACCTCCTCCTCCTCTGGGCCGGAGTCGTCCACCACCGGTTCCACCTTGCCATCGGCCGGCTCCGCTGAGATCAGATCCAGCATGTCCGGGGACACCACGATGGGATCAGAGGTTGAGTCGCCCACCAGATGCCCGCCATTGGCCAGTCTCTTCTGCCTTAGCTCTTCCAGGCGAGCGTGTTCCTTGTTGCGAATAGAGTAGCGACGATCGCCGACTCTGTAGCTCATGATCGAAGATTACTAAAAACAGGAGTAGTATGGATCACAAGCATAAGAGGCCCTTATATAGCCTCAGAGGGGCGGATACCTAGGCGAAAATCACGGAGAAGATCATAACTGCCGTGACAAGGCCGGATTGGACAGGAGGCAGGAATCTTTGTTAGAGAATGGTTCCATCGAATCCGCTCGAGAAGAGTGAGATTCGCACATTAACTGGAAAAGCAAGATTCTCTAGAGATACGGGGAATATTGTAGATGTCAGACTGAAAAGGCCTGTCAGGATGGCCGACTCGCAGATCAGTCGGCCAGGAGGGCGTGTCGAGCGCAAAAAGTTGAGAAAAAGAACTTTCCAGGATAAAAGTATAATTTATTTATCGAAGAAGGGAAGTACATGAAGTAAGGAGCTTATTACATCACAGCCAGAAATAAATAAAAAATGCTCCCGTGTAGCCCTCTCGGAAATGCGGAAATGGATCCGGGCCAGGGCAGTCACTCGCCAGGAGAAGAAGAGTCGCTCCCAAAGAACATCTCCCCCGATGGTCCAGTGGGAGATGGGCAGAAGGAGTCCCAAAAGGCCGGCATGATTGGTGGCACCACCAGCTCCTCGTCATCCGGGTACAGTTCCAGGTATCGGGCGAAGTCAGCGTCAAACATAAGGTCCGTAGCCAGCCCATCTAGGTCATCAAGAGGAATGGTAAAGGTCATGCGAAAGGCCAACTGTTCCGGAACGGCCACTTCCACGAAAGACCCGTCCTACGTAGTAACCCTGGCCGTAGCCGGGGGCGGTGGGTTGGCTGGAGTCGGAACGTTCTCCGTGTGAGCAAGAGTCGGCGGCTACGGAACGCAAGAAGTAGCGCCGGTCGGAGACCTCTGAGAAACTAGTCGAGGAGCCTTCTTCTTGTTCTCCCTCTCGGGCCTGGATCGCTTAGAAGGTAGAGGGCGTCGAGGCGACCCGAAGTCAATCCGCTTTCCCTTCAAAGGCGAACGACCCATGACTGATCAGTGAGGTAATGTGAAGAAGCCATGATGCTACTTATAGGATCCGCCAGGAGGAGGGGAGAATCCAAACCGCTCCGCTGAATCCGGGGAGATGGCAAAGAATCGGGGCGTTACAAGGTCCATTCAATGCAAAGATCCGGCGATTAAGAGGAGGAACAGTTACTACTTTCCCACACTCGGGTTAGTGGACCGGGTATGAGAAAGTGAGGGACTAGTTGATGGGGTGAGGACCCCGGCCCAAGGAGATGGGCCCAAAAGAGAAGGATTCCAAGATAGAAGATATGGGTTAGTGAAAGAAAAGTCTGGTGGTGACCTTGGCCGAGCCCAGGCCCAAGTGGGGGAGGAGACTCGGCTCAGGAGCCAGTAAGAAGCATTCAAAGTCGGTCCAAGAGCCGTTGGGGGAACACTCAATGCGGCATTCAAGAGGATTCGGCCAAATGAACCGTTAGGGGTCCAAAGAGCCGTTGGTCGATTCAGCAACAGCACCCGAACGGTCTTATAGTGTAATTCGCCTTGAAGGCAATATTTAATGTACTTCAATTCGGCTGGAGAAGAGCCTACTATATAAAGGCCCCTCCAGCCTTGTAAGAGGGGCAAGTCCAGGCCCAGGAAGAAAAGACACACGTTTCCTATTACTCTTTCAACTATTCTTTCGTTTTCTTAGAGCTTTTTGTGAAAGGTGAATCCATCGACCAAGGTTGTGTTGGAACTCCCTGGGCAAAAAACCCTAAAACCAACACATACGATTATCAAATGAGCCAATAATCAAGATATAGCCAGGAAAATAGGTTTTGTAAGACATGGGTTACCTCTTAGCCTTAATTAATCTTTCCTTGGCTATTAAGGTTCTTTCCCAAGATTTCCTCCCGGTTGATTTCCCTAGGCTTGGTGGCGGGGAATTCCTTTCGCTAGGTCTCCTGGACGATTCGTGTATTCAGTGTTATGAGAGGTGAGAGGGTTCTAATTGCTCTCTAATCCCCTATTTATAAGGTGTCATGAATCCTAATCAGAGTTTGAGTAGTAGAGGATCTATTTTTCTTATTCTTATCGGGCTTATAGTCTTTAATATGGACAAGGGTCCACAGTTCATCGTGGACCACATTAATTAATTAAGGGGGTCCTAACCAATTTAAGTCCCTTTTAATTATTTATATTCAAGATTAATTCCATAATTAATCCGAGTTTGAATGTCGTAACACCGGATATTACACTAAGGCTCGCAAGCTAGCACTACTGGAAATTATGGAATTTCCGACCACCTGAAAGTGATCTTAAATCAAGTCGAAAGCCTTGTTCCGACCACTTTTGGTATCCGGAAAAACCTTTGTTGCTATTTTCGACCACTTTTTGGTATCAACTTAATTTAAGATCACTTTCAGGTGGTCGGAAATTTCATAATTTCCAGTAATGTAGGGTGGTCTCGAACAAACCCACGGAATTCTTATTATTATTATTATTATTATTATTATTATTTGAATACTCAAATTCTTATTAAATTTAATTCAATTTTTTTTTTTGAAAGCAAAATTTCTAATATTTTGATAATAAAATATCTTAGATAGTTTAAATAAACATGAATACAAAGTTTAAATTTAAAGTCAATAATGAGCATAGATAATCTAAATTGAAATTAGTACAAGGCAGTCTCAACTATGGTTATGAAAATCTAACTACATTTAGGGTGTGTTTGAAATTAAGAAAAATGTTTTTTGAAAAATTAGTTATTTTTCAAAAAAAATATTTTCATTTCCCATGTTTTGTTGCATTCTAGAAAATTGTATTGGTGTGTTTGGTTCATTTTTTGAAAAATGAGCAGAATTGTATAATTAAACATTTTAATTGTGTTGTTTACTCCATTTGTCTCATTTTTTTGACACGTTTACTATTCATTGGTCAAACCAGCTATTTTTTCATTTCTTATTTTCGTTATTAGTTTTTAGTTATTTTTAAATTTAAACTTTTGTGTTTTATAGTACTTTTCATGTAGTTCCTAAATATATAAATTTTATATACTAATAGTAAACTTAATATTATGAAAAATTAAATTCAAAATTACTTCAGTCAAACCTCGTTAATCGAAACAGACACATAAAATGAGACGGGAGAGTATAATAATAATAATAATAATAATAATAATAATAATAATAATAATAATAATAATAAGGGTATTTTTTCTTTGACGAAAAAGTTAATTTCTGTTGACTCACATTTTCAACTATTTACCAAATACTAAAATCCAGAAAAATATTTTTCATAAATTATTTTCTGTATTTTCAAACGCACTTAGAAAATGATATTATAGAAAGCTTTGTGCTCAAGTAAACTTGGGAAAATGGCACTTTCCCCTGTTTTCCGTATTTTCCCCTTAAATTATGTTTTTTTTTTCTTCTTGAATGAATCATGTATCTAGTTATCCACATTATATTCTCAATATAATTGTTTCAAAAGTGATGATTTTACATTTTTACCCCCTATATATTAAGATGTCGTTTGAACGGTTAAGAATAAGGTCAAAATAACGAAGCAATAACTATGAGAAGTTTAAATTTACTTAATTTATGCTAAAGTTCTTCAAGAATTTTATTTTATTTTTTGTTTGACTCTTGGTCCAGCCGCCCCCTACCTTCTTAAATGGTAGAACGGATAAACTTTAATATTGTTATGACATTAGTATTTTGTCGGCATATCCAAACCAAACCAAATTGAGGAAATATGGTTAATTGAGGTTTAGAGATTAGTTTGGGCTGCACAACTAGACTTACGATTTGTGTATATAAGTTTATTAATAGGTTGACATGCCACCAACACAATCGTTATGCCATGGAACTGTGTTCACCATGGATGGTGAACACAGTCCCAACGGTGTTAGTGTACCGTTATCTTCTTTCTTTCTTTTTTTTGTTCTTTTTTTTCTTTCTTTTTTTTTTCTTAATTAATCGCGTGACTTTTCTTCTTCATTTTCACATTTCGCGGTTTCACTTTAATTTGAGGTGAGCAATGATTTCGGACATTCATAAATTATGAATCCATGCATGCACATTCACTTTGGAACCATGCCTACACATTTCCGTTTGAAACCATGGCTGCTCCTCTGTAGCGCAAGCTTCTTCAACATTTATAAATTATGAATTTTCTGTTATGAAATTATGAATTTTCTGTTATGAGATTATGAATTTTCTGTACATTCATAATCTCATAACAGAAAATTCATAATCTGACCAAACGCGCGCCGTTAACACCACATCCGCAAAAAAAAAATTTTACGTAAAAACGGCGCCGTTTAGACCTGTGTTCACCATTCATGGTGAACACGTTTCTAGGGCATAATTTGCGCCACCAACACGCACACAATAAATTTAAACACGGACATAATTAGTTAAGAGTAATAGGTTAGAGTTCTAAAGATGTACAGAAACACGATTTTTTAAAATGTTGACAATATAGACTTTTAGTTAATAGGTTATTTCAATTTGCGCTATCTACACACAACAACTAGTGGCTCACATTTAAATCGGACCAAACCCCTTCCCGCGCAATAAAAACCCACCGAACCAAAGTTCCCGCCAAGACTTCCAAGAAGCTCACGGCTCTCGTCTTCCCACGTGTCCCTCCACGTCACCTCCGACTCCCCGGAAATCCACACACGTGGAAGTTCAGATCTATCCCCAGCCAGCACCTTCGAGAACCGCCTTCCAGCGTCGGCTCACCGCCCAACGCATTCAATCCTTCCCTCCCTTATAAACCTCGATCTCCCCGCAAAATCCACCATTAATTAAACTCCCGTCTGTCTAACCCGCCGGCGATAATCCTTTTTTGCTCTCAGAAATTGCGGCGATGGAAGACGCTAACGTTAACAACAAGGTTTCGGACGAGGCGGCCGGGTGCAGGACGCCGGACAGAGAAGAGTGCCGGATTCCGGTGATGCGATTCCCGCCGCCGCCGCCGAGGAAGAAGCGGCTCCGCCTCTTCGGCAAAAAAGAGGTGCCGAAGAGCGCGTATTTTCACTCCCCCGACCTCGAACTTTTCCTTACCATCCCCCCTAGACGTCGAGCCGCCATTGCTCAACTAGTGGAGTAGTTTCGTTTCAAACTTGTATGTATGTTAGTATGTATAATGTATGTAATATGTAAATTCCACCATATTTTCCGACAATTAGCCGTTTCCGGGAAAATCTTTTCATAGTAATTAGCGGAAATTCAAGTTAGGTCGGAGCTTTTCGAGACTATAAGGTTTTGGGTGATTAGGGTTTGGTAGTCTCGGGTTTTGGGTGTTTTGTGTAAATGGGAATGTTAAAGTAATGGAATTGCGGCAATTTGTACGATGAGTTTACTGATTGGTTCTGATGAATGTGGTAGTGAGTTGCAGTGAATGTCAGATACGAGATATCATTGTTTTTACTCTTCTTTGTTTAATTTCACTATAATAAAAATACAATTCATATAATAATTAAATTTAAAATTTTAAAATCAGGTAATAATTTTATTTAAAAAATCAACCAATCAAGTGTAAATCATAAGAATTTTTTTTTTTAATAAAGTAAAATTAAGAAAATACTAGAAAGTAACTTGCTTTGAAGATAATAGTTAAATAAGTTTTGGAAGTATTCACCAAATAGTAATTAAACCATTAGTGTACAAATTTTATTATCAAACTCAAATTTAAAGAAATTATGTAATTAAAAAAAAAAAAAACACTATGGCTTTACTTTCTTCATATTCAATAGAAAAGGACGATGTCACCTTATTTAGATCAAGAAAAAAAAAAAAGGTCATCATTTTCTTTGCATGGACATCGCTTCTTCAAATTTTGAAAAAAAAAAAATTGTTATTGCATCCTCTTTGAGTAAAAGAAGAGGGCTACATTATAATTTTCGTTAGAACTAGACTACAAGTAATCATCTTTTTCAAATTTAATAAAAGAGCATTGTCTTTGAATTGTAAAATCTAGATGAAAGCGATAGCTTCGCCTTCTTCAAATTAAATCTAATAGAATAATGCAACCTTCTTCATATATAAAAGAAAGGCCATTGTTTACTTCAAATTATAAAAAAATAAAAATAAATAAATAAATAAAGTCGGAGGTTCCAAGTAGAGTGGTGTAGGCTGAGAGTCAAAAAGTTATCTGGCCAAGGTGCAATAAATGTCTTATATATAGGCCAGGGAAAAGAAAAGACACATGTTGAGTGCTCGGCGTGCTCTAGACTCCACGTGTCCTAGCTAGGTGGATTTGGTGACGATGTTATGTTTGCCAAATGTCTTTAGAGATTTGACACGTGAAGGTCGAGGTGATCGAAGATCGGGAAGTCTACTAATAATGAGATCAGGAAAGTCTAATGATGGTGACATCAGGATCAATAGTGAGATCGGGAGTTCTAAATAGTGAGACCAGAAGGTCTACTAATAATGACACCTAGAGGTAGGCTTGTACTTTGATCTCAAGGTCGTCGGAAAGTGCACTACTGATGAGGTCGGAAAGTGCACTACTGAGATCGAAAAATATACTACTAAGGTCAAAAAAATACACTAATGAGTTCAATAAGACCAGTGAGTTGCCCTATAATCCTATCTAAAGTGATGGCTTCGTCTTTTTCAGATTAAAAAAAAAAAAAATGAAAACGATAGTGTCACGGTTTTCACATCTAAAGGAAGAATTGTTGCCTACTTTAAATCTAGATAAGAATAACGGATGTCGCGTTCTTCATATCCAAAAGGAAGTGATGCATGTCACCTTCTTAATCTTAATCTTAATATATATCTGAAAAGTAACATGATGCTATAAGTCTATAACACTCTTTATCGAAATTTAAAAAAAAAAAAAGATTCGTCTAATACAAAATTAACCCCCTTCTTTTAAAGTTAATCTGTTAACGCATCTTCAAAAAAGAGATGAATCAGAGGTTCGCAGGTCCCCTTCAAGCTCCATTAATGGAGATAATGTAGGATTCACCTTCTCAAAATTTTAAAGAAAATAGGAAAGTTGAAATTTTTTAATTAATTTTTTTAGGTTCAATTTAAAATCAACATTGTGTATTAAAGTTTCCTTTTTTCCAGTTATAAGTTCTAATTACAATATTTGTTGGGGTTAAAAGGCTAATTTGACACCTTTTTTTCTTTCTTTCTTTCTTTCCTTTTTTTTTTTTTAAACCCACACTTTTTCATTTTAATAAAAAGTAAATTTAAGAAAACACAAAAATAAAGTTAATTAAAAATGTAGCGTATATTCATATTATTTCCAGTTTCCACCCCTCCTATCAATCCTTATACCATGGACATGATTTGCAATCCACTATGGACATGTTCATAATATGTGTATGTGTCTTATATTGTGAGTTTTTTGTGTTTTGTGTTATAAAATTTTGTTCATTAAGAGTATAAATTTTGTACTTAAAATAGATTAGTAATTGTGTATTATGTTATGAATTTTTATGTCTTATGTTGTAAAATTCTGTACATATAAACACAAATTATGTACTTAAATCATATTTTAAAAATAAGTAAATATATAACATATGTATGTGTCTTGTGTTGTAATTTTTTGTGTCTTATGTTATAAAATTCTGTATCTCATCATTTCAACTCAAGGTCCATAATGATATGTGCATCCTGGTCCATTATATAAACGCAAATTATGCTGTGGAAACGTGTTCACCATGCCCACAGGGATAGATTCATTTTCTATGCTGTAGATCCATAATTTTTATGCTGAAGAAATTATGAATCTACAATATGGTATAGAAATTAAGAATCTACAGTATAGATGTTATGAATCTACAAAATAGAAATTATGAATCTATAGCTTAGAAATTATGGGTCTATCCCGTGTTCACCATGCGCATGGTGAACACGGTTCCACTGCATAACTATTGTGGTATAAATTGCGAGTAGTTATGCTGTGCAACCATGTGCACCATGCATGGTGCACACAGTTGCAAAAACGACGTCGTTTTGACGTCCAACTTTAAAAAAAATTCAGTTTCGATTGTCGTTAACGGCGTTATGTTGTGCATAATTTGAACTATACATCCATAACTATACATTCAGAATTGCATGCATAACTACACATCCATAAGTTCATAAGTATACATTCAAAATTATATAACTATACATCCATAACTTCATAACTATATATTCACAATGTGAAATTATAATTTCATAACTATACATTCAAAATTGCATGCATAACTACACAACCATAACTTCATAACTATACATTCAGAATTGCATAACTATACATGCATAATTTCATAACTATACATTCAAAATGTAAAATTATAAAATTTCGAACATATGTTTACGTAACTAACGGCAATTGAAAATAATTTTTTTTAAAAGTAAAACGACACCGTTTTTGCAGCCGTGTGCACCATGCACAGCATAATTTGTTATAAATTGCCCCTCCTACGAGGTGGACTACTACATCAATCATTATTGTATGGACCATGGTCCACACAAGTTGTGTAGACCATATTTTGTCTACTATAAAATAATGTACATTCAGTACAAAAATAATGTACATTCAGTACAAAAATAGTGTATATTGTATATAGGGGATATACATTATTTTTGTTCTGAGTGTACATTATATTGTATAATGTACATTCAGTACAAAAATAATGTACATTTAGTATATTAGAAATGTACTTTTTGTTATGGTTCACATAACATTATGTGGACCATGGTCCATACAATAATTTGGGCTACTACATCGGATTATAATTTCATTTCGTGATGGATGATAATTAAGGCCCATCTTCCATTCTCTGGGTATTTAAAATTGAATTTGGGTCATTAACCCATTAGCTTAAAGGAGATAAATTTTGGGCTTGTAGACTGTTAAATGAATACCCATTCAATCTTCTTTTCTTTTTCTTTTTCTTTAAAAAAAAAAAAAAAAAAAAAAAAAAAAAAAAAAAACAGTAGTATAGTAATTTAAAGAGTTTTTCGTACTTTTTTTTCTCACGAGTATTGTGACACTAACAATATTATTTTTTTTGAAAGGAACAATGTTAATCATAACTTTCAAAACTTACATAACTAGTCTACGAGTATCAATTTTTTAGCACAAATAATCTTCGGTGAAAAATTGATAGAGATTTGACCGAAAAGATTATTTGCGCTAAAATTTTTATACTCGTGAACCAAGTATGCAAGTTATTAAAGTTGTGAATCAACATTGTTAGTGTCATGGGTCCAAAAGTTTGAAAAACTCTAATTTAAATAAAGAGTTTTTTTTTTTTTTTTTGGGTCCTACTACTATTTGATCATTTTCACATTTTATCTCAAACTATTAATTTTTTTTTATTTTTAGTCATGAATCATTTTCACATTTGGTCCCACGACTTTTAAAATATAGTCACATTTGGTCATTGAGTCAAAATTCTGGTCATCAATGATAGAAAAAAATTAATTGAAAAATGTCATAGAAAATAATAATGTTGTCTTTCAAGATAGGTCACTTGACTATTATGCACTCATATTCAATAACATACTGAAACAAATTTGGTTACCAATGATCGAAAATTTTGCTGGAGGACCAAATGTGGCAATATTTTAAAAGTAGTGAGATCAAATATGAAAAAAATAATAGTTGGGGACCAACTATAAAAATGATTAATAGTTGTGGACTTGTGGGATCAAAATGTGAAAATGATTGAATAGTTGGGATCAAAAGTTAAAAAAAAAAAAAAAAAAAAAAAAAAAAAAAAAAAAAACTAAATAAATATATACTTCTGAGGGATTTTTAAAATTTTCTTATGTGGTTCAGAAATTAAAATAGAATGGTAATTTTAGTATCATTTAGTAAGATCAATTATTAAATTACCTTTTTATTTTTCAATTTTTTTAAATATGTAAAAATATTATGAAATATTATAAAAAATTTCCAATTTAATTTATTTTATTTTTGGAGTGGTGAGTGATTTTTTTTTTTTTAACATAATTGTATGAGTATTTGCGTGATAGATCACATTCTAGTTTATGATTAAATAAATCTTAAATCAAAGTGACATAATTGAAGCATGTGCTCTATCTCAACTAAAAGCCTAAGCTGATAGTTGGATTGCACATTAATGGTTATATGCTTAACACGCCCCCTCACATGTTCAACACGTGAACGTAGTCGCTTATTGGGTCTTTTGGTCTGGCTCTGACATCAAATTGAAGCATGTGCTCTATCTCAACTAAAAGCCTAAGCTGATAGTTGGATTGCACATTCATGGTTATATACTCAACAGACATAAGTTCAAGTCTTTAATTGACCTAATAGATGAGCCTAAGCTTGGAATTAGCTCATGAGTCCTAGACTCGAAACTGTCACAATCATATCTTAATTGGACCTCCTCATCTTAAGACTTTAAGAGTCCCAGGTTTATGTTTAATATTCGATGATCACTTATATTCACAACATTGTAATGAAATTTTCAAGTTTGCATTTAAATAAAAGAATCCTTCCTCACTTTATGGATGCTTTTTAGAAGATGGGGATCACACATATTTGACACTAGGTGTTGGAGGATAATACTAAAGAAGCAAGTAAAAGGGCCTAAAAGTATTTGCAAATTAAAGATGATCATATGCTAATATAGGATTTAATCAACCATGAATCAGAATTGACACAAGTTTAATGCCCTAATCAACTCGAACCAATGAACGGGCTTAAATCTGAAATCGGCC